ACACCCTCGCCCGCCTGCTACGTCGCCGACGCCGCCGGCCATTTTTTCAAATAAAAATGGATACATAGATAATTCTAGCATACACAGATAAAAAGAAAAGACCACTACTCGTCGATTTCTGACTCCAACTCGGTAATGTCCTCCTCCGATGTCTGAATGTAGGCGTCAGCATACGCCTCGTCTTCAAAGTCCCAACCCGCCGTTTCTCGTAGCTTCCATTTCAATTGAGCTGCCTGCTTCCGCGAACGCTTGTCCTCCCGATAGGCGGCTCGCTCCCTCCTCCTCGTGTCCCTCTCCGATCTCAATTGCTTGTAGAACTGGCGCTCGTCGACGATGTCCTGCGGGTAGCCTCCACGCCACAGCACCAAGGCTTCCACGTCCTTCTCTGCGATGGCGAGGCGACGCTGCCGCCTCCGGTGGACATGACGATCCTCGTCGGTGAAAAGCCGCGGGAGAGGCGCCAGATCCTGCGCCCGCTGGCTCGACACGTTGGGAAAATTCATATCCCGACGAGGCCTCAGGAGGCGCCACGCCGCCACGTCGTGCGCGCGGGCCGCCTCCTCTGCGGTGTCGAAGGTGCCGAGGGCGAGACGTTTCTCGCGAAACCAGATCTCGGCGAAGAAGGCGCCGGAGCGGCGCTCGCGGACTCGGCGAAAATCCGAAGCGCGTAGGCGGCGGATCAACATGGTGGCGCAGAGGCGGCGAGAGTGGGCGACCGACAGAGTGTGGAGAGAGAGCCTTCTTTTATAGCAAGCGCCGGCCGCGGCGCGCGCGAACCTTTCCCGCTGGAGCGTCAAAATCAGGGCGACGGCACGATGTTAAACGCGCGCGGTCATGAAAATGGGTCGGCCCGTTAGGCGCACTGCCGACGCAAAACTAAAAAAGGGCGGACGGCTCCAAAACTAAAAGAGGGCGGACGGCGGGCGGGCGGCCGACCCAAACGGATAAAAACGCCGTCCATTTAGGTCGGCCCATTGAAGTTGCTCTTAGTGGTATTCTCAGTGACTGGGTATTGTACTTAGAAATGAAGGCAAGCCCGCTGGACGATGGTGCATGGACGGAAACCGAGCCGGACTCAGCCTAGCGCACCGTCTTAATTCCCAAATCTCAAATAAAGGGGCCAGCCCAGCCCGGCCGGCAGGACCCCAACCAAACAAACCAGCACGGGCTTGAGGGCTTGTGGTCTAGGGTAGGTATCCGCCATGAATCCCCATCCCGCAGCTGCCGCTGCCCCTAGAACATCTTGTACTGGTACATACTTTTGGGCAATCCTGAGGTAGGCTTCGCAAACTGCAGGAGATCCGAATCAGGATTGATGGTTTTCAAATATTTCTATCTTTCTTTGCGAACAAATTTTCGCTACATTACATTTATGCAATAGTTTTTTAAACTTGTTCGCAGAGGCTGATCGACCTCCCGGGATTACTAGGGCTGCTTGACGTCACCCCTTCCCCAGGTGGTTCCGGCCCTAGGCGTGCTGGCCCGGCCATCCACAAGAAGGCACCACTCGCCGCCACTAGTCCGATTGAGTACCTCCCAGCCGGCGGGGCGGCGGCGCGGTGGTCGCCTGGCAACCAGCCGCGGCAGCAGCAGTAGCTGCCACGGCCTAGCTGGTCCCTCAAGAATCACTACGGCGACCCCCTGCTCGAGATATTTGGGGTGTTATGCGAATTTCCCCCTCGTTGGCCAAGTACTGGCCTCCGGCGGCATGGTCACCGACATCATCTGCCAGCTCCAAACTGCCAAGCCGTTTTACTCACAAAGAGCACGATGGGCAATGCAACATCCCGAATCCCAACTTGTTGATTTCAGGGTACGTATGTATGATCTTGCCAAAACTTGCTCATCAGTCTCTTCTAGTTGGTATTTGTCCGGCTCACATATACAGTACTACTATTGCATGTATATATGCAGATGAAGCTGCCTCCGACGGGGCCATCTACTTACATCTCTGCCTGCTCAGGCGTCGCCCTCGGAGTGAAGATGGACGCGTCCAAGAACAATGCCGAGGAGGAGCTATCCAGCCTGGTGCTGGACTGGGACGACGACTCGCCAATGTCTGACAAATGCAACACCGTCTCCATCGAAACAAGCAAAGGCGTCGTAGACGTGGTCTGCGCGGTGATAAGTGACGCCGTCGAGCTCGGCCTGTGCATCCGGAATTCCGGATGTGCATACCCTGTCAGCCTGTAAGCTCTGCCAGTGTATACGGTTCCATCACCGCGCGCACAGACACGTTTGATCCCAAGATCACCATATTCACCAGAGATGCCAAGTCGGCCATCAATCTTCTTCGGCGTGTTGCCCATCCGGTACCGCACTTTCTGTGCGCTGAATCATACCGCCATGTGACCCTCCCATTGGCGCGGACTTTTCTGGCCGTGCCGACTCAGGCGACGCGCGTTGATTTTGAGTGGGAGCTGGCGATGGCAGGGGGATCGGAAACCATCAGTGTCACGCAGTCCATTCCTATCGATGCCGAGGAAATTAGGACCCCGTGGGTCAAGCACGGAGACTGCTATACTAGCCTGTCCATGTGTGTTCACTGGGCTCGCTAGTGTGCACTACATATGATATGATGCTCAGGCATGGCCCAAGATGGCTAATCAAACTACATACTCAAAATGCTGTGCGCGCTTTTTATTCCTGTGGATTTACATACCCAAATGCTACATGGTGCTCAGGCATTGTTTCCGTATCGCGCGGAAATGCCTGAAAACACCAGCTGGATGCGAACCAACAATTGCAATCACAACCCAATTGTCCGGCCTGAAATCGGCGTGCCACAACGAATTTCTCTGTCCCATGCGGCATGCTGGAGTCGATGTGGATTTCCTCTGGCACTAGAGAGTGATACATTGTGTCAGAAATGAACAAAGCCTTCCGACCGGTATATAAAGTAGCATGACATTCAGTGTCCTATGGGGTTTACCTCCTCGGGTCTCCTCTAGTGCATCGAGTGCAACTGCATGCAACTTTGTAAGAGTTTTCAATGAAATATGACAGTTTATTCGCCAGGGATTTGTAAATCTATTTATTTTACTATATCTTATCATTCACGCTTATATAATCGCACAACAGGGGTACCTGTCACTACATTCCTCCCTATAATGTCATGAAAATCATCATGGGAGTAATTCTCAGGATCGTTGTATTACGTTCGTAGTTAACAGCTCTATATCTTATTTAATCGTGAGACACGCACATATATTGTCGCCGACGGACAGCATAGTTGCGATGTTGTACGTGAGCCCGGTCAAGAAAAAGATGCAACGGTACTCTTACTACACAGTGCATGCCAAATCACACGATCCAACCAAAACATCAAAATCGGCAGCTATGCATATCTTGGACCAACACAACGCGTCACTCGCTTCAACAAACCAAAGCCAGCATGAATGGCATAGCCATAAGCATACCTCTGGAGTTCCCAAGGCAGGCCACCGGTTCCCAAACATATCGATCATCTGCATCAGCGTTACATTGATCCGATCCATATGGTTGTAAGAATCCACCTGCACGTGGAAGATGATGAGAGGGTCTGACAGTGGAGCTGCTTGAGATCCAGCCTAATCATATATTCGGTGCGGCAGTCCAGCTTGCCATGCCTGCCTGCTGCCGTTCTGGGCTGGTGGTCCTGGTGAACATTCCCCTGTTTCCAGCCACTTCATTCACGGCCATGGGACATTTGGTATGACATCATTTATCGAGAAATTTTTAGAGAATGAGCCTTCTATTAATGTGAAGACTCAGATGCTCTTTGGCCACCTAGAGTCACTCAATCATCTGGATTGTTCTTCATTAACAGGCCACTGGCAGATCCACCATTCCAGCCATATAGCAATGACCTACATAGTGTGCATAGGTACGATCAAATGTATGTTAAGTATCAGAACAGTAATTCTGATAGATGAATCAGTTACTGCAAAAATGTCAATACATGAGGTTCAACTGTTCTTCAATCACCTACATAGTTTACATAGGTAAAGTCAAATGTATATTAAGTCTGCTCTGAGCTAGAATCCTGCCACCATTTATTTTTTGGGTGTGTTGTTTCTTTAGAATTCTGGAGAACTATCATGCAGCTGACTCGTTTTAGAGGGGATATCAGTATGTTGTCCTTCTCTGAATGCTGGTCTAGGGGTGATAGTTTTGCTGCTATTAATATTATGCATGCAGCTGGTTTTTGGACTATCTGGAATTTAAGGAATGACATGGTTTTCAACCACAATCCTTGGCCTGGTCTACAGGTTTTTTGGCGCGGGACGGCAGCAAGTCTTTCTCTATGGGAGCGGCTGTCCTCCGACTGTGTGAAATCCCAACTGCAAAACATGGCGTAAAAGCTGAAAAAGAAGACAAGGGAGCCGCCGCTACTGATGTGGCCAGACCCAGGCTGATTGAGTCGGGGGCAGGGGCTAATCTACTGGGGGGCTTTAACAGGCTCAAGTCCCCCTCCAGCACTGTAAAATTTGTATCTACTACTAATTTTAAGGCCCAGCCCAGCTACTTGCAGGCCCAGTTCAACACATATTTGCATGACCCAGGCAGCCCAGCCCCCCCTCCATTTTTTTTCTAGCTGCGGTTATGTAATATGTGTGTGGGAGCTCTGATAGTTTCAGATTTGTATCTGTGCTGCTAGAGTCGCTGCATTAGTTTACCTCTGTTTGTTTCAGTTTCTTTTGTTATGTCCTACTAGTTTTATTTAGTCCTTGCTGAGGTAGCGGTGGGGCTGTCCTCCGCGTGCTGAATTGGTGTTTGTAAGACAATTTGGTTTCTTTGCTATGCAATGGAACCGGAGCCCTGGTGCTCTTTTCCTCGAAAAAAATGTATATTAAGTAGTATCAGAACACCAATTCTGAAAGATGGATCCGTTACTGCATTAAATATCAGAGGAAATGGGAACACATCTCAGTTCTACTGCTCTTCAGCTAACGTGCAAAATAAAAAGCAAACCACAAGCCCTTTAAGAGGACATAGATAAAAGTAAGCATGTATCACTTCTATGCCAATAGGTGCAAGTAACACAAAGCAATTTGAACATGGGGTAACAGAGCAAGCCACACTCCAGTATCAGCACCTTCTTCGGCTGAAATGTTCCCTTCCCAATCAGTCATGGCAGTCTTTACCCAGCCAGGACAGAAACAGTTAATGTAAATCTTTTGGCCTTCAGACCTGTCAGCAAGCCTCTTAGCCATGAGTCTTGTATACACATTAACAGCAAGCTTTGAGATAGAATAGTCCGTGTACATCTGAGGCCACTCAATGGAGGACCAACTATTTTGCTTCACTTGTTCAAGGAATTTAGTGACCATCCCATCAATCAATTCCTCAGATAAGCAATCATCAGTTAATAGTTGCTCTCTTAGGATCGCATCGCCGATTTTCTGATAGGTTAAAAAAGCGAAAAGACAAGTCAAGGAAAATTCAGAATGGGTCACTTGGGAAAAAAGAAGAAGTTAATGGTGAAACTTACATTGCGCCTGCCATTGGCCCTACCAAGCCTTGAGCTTACATTCACTATCCGGCCACCATACGGAGAAGGTTTCAGTAATGGTAGCATGGCTTCAATCATCCGCTTTGTACCAAAATAATTTGTCTCAATTACTTGCTCTGCAAATTCAACAGAGTTATCTGCTCCTCCGTTGAAGTTTACACCTGCATTGTTAATCTGTAGCTGGGTTACCAGAGATATTCAGACAAAAATCTGCCAGTATCAGCACCTAACCACTCATTGCATATCGGTTTCCTCCTTGCTTTGTGCAGAACCTATGTATCATAGTCTCACATGTATGAAACTGAATATCATTTTTAGACTGCTCATGTCCAAGCTATTTTCTGCTAAATATTCAGACTTCTATGCATGGTAGTAGGAATTTTTTGAACATGAATATTCAGAACTCAATACAGCTCAGGCAATTAGGCACCACTACTCTCAGCCGTTCCATCACTCAATTGGATAGAGATGAAATAAAATTGAAACCACAGCCGTGTATGAAATTGTCGAAACCAAATTGAAGCGTTCCATGGTACTCCGTATAGAGGAAGAGCATGGCAGTTGTGGAGGCTCACAAGGACATGGATGCCGCCGTGGGTCCGCGCCGTCCAGGCGGCGAAGGCCTCCACCGACGCGGCGTCCGCCACGTCTAGCTGCCGCCACTCCGCGCTCGCCGCCTCCTGCTCTCGGAGGATACTCTCCGCGGCGTCCCGGCCCCGCGCGGCGTCGCGCGAGGCTAGGACGACGTGGAGGCTGTGGTGCGCGAGCTGGCGGGAGATCTCGTAGCCGATGCCGCGGCTGGCCCCCGTGACCACCGCCACGGCGCGCGCCGGCGCGAGGCCGTCCCACCACCGCTGGTGGGGCTCGTAGGGTACGGCGCGGAGGAGCGTGACCTCCCGCCGCCGCTCCTCCCGGCGCTCCCTTGCCGCCGCCTTGCCCCTCTTCCCCATGTATCTCTCCCTCTGCTGTACTGTGTTCGCCGGAATCGAACTCAGATAGGGGTGTTTTTTGGGACCACAGCCCCAAGACCATTAAGCCCAACAGAAAAGAGCAAATAAGAGTCCATGGGCTTGTTTAAGGTGGGCCGTTAGCCTGGTCAGCTAAAAAAATAGATGCTTCAACTTGAATTTATGTTAGTTTAAATATATACTCGAATTTATGTATGGGAATTTCTAATTTCCAAACGTTCGTAATATGACAGTAGATCCGGACGACCCGATCATCGAGAGATCCGCATCGCACGTTCCCTCGATTCGGTCCCGCAGTATCGATTTTTATTTCCTTCTATTAAAAATCGTTGTCTGGTTCAGTTTCTTTTTGTTCGCTAATTGATTTTTCTCCGAAAAAAAGAGGATAGTGGGAATCGAGCCTCGTACCTAGAGGTTTAGCCGTACGCTAACTAGCTATCTAGGCTAATACCTTGCTGGTGGTTAGATACAGATTAGGCTATTTCTATTTTGACAAATGCTGCTAGTGCATTTTATGGTGGAATTGGGATTTGTTTTTTTGATTTTTTCTGGATCTGGCCACCGGTCCTGAACCATGCAACGTGGTTGTTTTAAAGATTTTTTGGCTATTTTCATTCCTTCCTTTTTAAACCAAAAAAAATCAATTTTCATCTGTTGTCTTTTCTTTGTTGCAAGAAGATTTCTTTTATCGAGGCATAAAAAAGATGTTCATAACATAATTCCGGTTTTTTGGGTGAATGGAATGATATTTTTACGATCATGGACTTGATAACTTATGGACTTTTCACAAAAAAAACTTAAGTACTATCATCACGATAACTTTAGCCTGAGAAAAAAAAGTTTACAACTCGGTAACCTTAACGTGGATAGCATGCTAATATAAGCAGGAAACTTGTTATCTTACGTACAAACACCAGTAGCAACAGTGTACTAACCAACTCACCCGGCCTTAATTGTTGTCCAATAAATAGAAATATGACAGTTAACCTTTTTTTCACTTTCACATGAGCCAAAAAAACATTTTCTTCTTTTGTTTTTTTGGATTTCTCAAGTTGTCTTGTAGTCTTCCATGTACCAACGAGTTGTATACCTTATCCATATAGCCTCGTTGTAAATATCATGGCAACTTCACATGAGGGATTTTTTGGGTTGAAACATACCCCGGTAACTTCTATGCGAATGGCATGGTAATTTGTGCACCGGGACCCGATAACTTACGTATAAATGTCATGGTAACTTCGATCGGGGATCAAAATTATTGAAACACCTCCCTGATAATTTATGTGTAAACAACACGGTAATTTCTGCAAGGCAACCCTGATAACTTAGGCCAACACCACGAAAACTTTGACCTGAAGGAAAAAGGTTGTGAAAAATGTACCCGGTAACTTTTGTATAAACATCATGGTAATAATACATCATATAAATGATAACTTAGGTACAAACACCATGATAATTTGGACCCCGAGGAAAATTGTTGAAAAATATAACCTCGATTACGTTTGTGTGAATATCATGGTAATAGAAGCACTGAATACCTGATACTTAGGTGAACCACGCGAGGGGGGGGGGGTGATTTGTTGAAAACATATTCCCCGGTACTTTGTGTGCAAATAACACGGTATTATACACACAATAAAGTTTTTTTTAGAATCATACACACAGTAAAATTGATAACTCACTACAGACCCCATGGTAACTTTTTACCCTGGGATAAAAGTATGTTGAAACATACCCTGATAACTTTTGTGTAAATATATAGCATGATAATATACATACAACAGAGCTGATAACTTACTTAATCTAGACGTGGTAACTTTTCGACCAGGGAAAGATGTTGTAAAAAAATACCTCCCAATAACTCATGTGTAAACAACGTGATAATACACACAGATGAGAGCTGATAGCTCATATACAAATATCGCGGTAATTTTTTGACCGAGGGAATGAAAATTGTTGAAAAATATACCCCGATAACTTTTATGCAACATGGTAATATACACAATAAAGCTGATAACTCACTGCAAACATTATAATCACTTTTTGATCTTGGGATAAAAGTTTGTTGAAAACATACCCCGAATTTTTGTGTGTAAATGACACGGTAACTTATGTATGACAGACGTGATAACTTACGTAGCCCAGATGTGGTAACTTTTAGTCCGAAAAAAAGAGTCACCAGAACATATCGATATAGGATCTAGTTTCGAAGATCTCGTCTAGACGAATTTTTTTCGTGAAGACGGTTTTTTAATCGGAGAAACGGTTTGAGCTACAAAATATTTTAAAGTTCAAAAAAAAAGAATCTAGAATGACATCAGCTTTTTGTCCTTTAGTGCATATATGCATGTAATTAGAGGGAGGAGCGCACGCGAAAGAAAATTAGTCATTCTAATGCATACATGTATATAATTAAAGTGTAGTAAGAATCGTTCTTGCCTATTACTAAAATCCGAACGTTTGGTAGTTATAAAAGTCCTTTATGTAAATAAAAAGATGGTCGCTCAAATACTTTTTTTTTGCAGAAAGATCAGAATTATTATAGAAGTCATTGGAAGTACAAGGCATCTCAAGCATAATAAAAATTACATCAAGATTCCGAGACCACCGAAAGACCACTACTGCCGCCAGAACGAGCCCTTGTCATTGTCACTGCTTCCCTATTGGAGACGGCTTGACCTTGTCGATGACAAATGGGAAGTCTGCGTGCACATGCCCCTAAGGACCAGCACCCTAAACCATTACATGGATCTAAAGCACCTGACACCAAATCTCGTCACATGACAAGAAATCCTAACCTCACCGTCCGAAGTAGACGACAGGAATGTACGTCAGAGCTCCGTCGAACAAGAAGTGTCGTCATCTACCCGAGCACCGCACCTGCGAGGACTAAAAACCCCTAACTTAAACTACTAACCGGAGCGAAGGAATCGAGATTCTCCTCCCCATCACCGGCCGCCGAAGCAGCATGCAGAGGGGAGACAAATCTACAGGCTCGCTGATGAAGTCTAAAGGAGAAAGTTTTCTCTAGCCGCCTAGGGTTAGGGGAGAAAAGGAGAGAAGGTTGGTCGCTCAAATACTAATGGCAGAAGAAAAGTGATGAAATTTCTCAAGAAAGAAAATGAAGTGATAAACATATGCCATGAAGGTGGCGTCGTGTGCCCCTTGATGGCATGTCTTTTTTATAAGTACTCCATCTGTTCATAAATATATGATGTAGTGGATATTTCAATATGAGCTGGAATGAATGAATAATACACTAATACAAGTCTCTCTCTCTCTCTCTCTCTCTATATATATATATATATATATTCAATTTGCAAAAAAGGCAATGCAAAAGTTACAGGGTTCATGGTGATTTTTTTCCTTTCTGCAAGTGTGTCGTCTCATATTTTTTGAACACAGTACAGATGCAAGTGTTCATATACACAGACACACGTACACCCTACCCTTATGAGAACCTTCAAAAGACTGAGGCGGCATATCATCTTAAAATTTACGAAGTCACGATAGGCACCTCGTCGTGAACGGAAACATCTCCTCCCACTGAATGCGCATCATAAAAAATCCTAAAATAAATCTAGCAATAAATGCAAGCACCAGGATTTGAACTTTGGTGTGCTAGAGATACCACAGCCCCTCTAACCATTCAACCACAAGTTGATTCGTGTGTGTCATCTCATATTATACCCATGTGTGAGGATGATTGTAACCTTACTATTCCTGTTTAATACTATAAGCTTTCTTCTACGCCTAAAAAAAGATAGAACCTCTTATATTTGCGAACGGTGGGAGTCGCTGGCAAATTTGACAAATTTAACCTGTGAACGAAATCAAATCACAGAATGAACTGCTCGTGAAACTATTTCACGCGGTTGACCTTTTTGTGTGACGCCCGACACGAAGGCGTCACACTACATTGTGCAACGCCTTACAGATAGGCGCTACACGCCTGGCCAATGTTGCACCCCAAACTGCCTAAAAATTGCTAAGTCATTGTGCAGAGCCTACGAGCTAGGCGCTGCACTGTATAATGTGGCGCCTAGCTTTCAGGCGCTGCACTAGTGGTTGCATTATAAAATGAAGCAACCACTAGTGCAACGCCTAGAAGCTAGGCGCTACACTGTATAGTGTGACGCATAGCTCTCAAGCGCTGCACACTGACTTAGTAATTTTCGGATCACATGGGTGCGACGCTGGTCAGGCGTGTAGCGCCTATCTGCGAGGCGTTGCACAGTGTAGTGTGACACCTTCGTGTCGGGCGTCACACAAAAAGGTCAGCCGCGTGAAATAGTTTTACGGGCAGTTCATTCTGTGATTTGATTTCGTCCATAGGTTAAATTTGTCAATTTTGCCGGAGTACTACATTTTCTCGTTCTTCCATCATATAATTGGTTAGTATTTGAAGTTAGAACCACATAAATAGAGTGGGATAGAGTCATTATGTAAGTACATAATAGCAAGCTGTGTATATTCACCACTTCAGCATACAAGCTCGTGTCTAGTCGCACGTGTCGACTGAAACGAAGTACAACTGATCTTATTCATACGTGAGAGGGTCCGGGGTGGAACGTGTATACTTGGATGCGGTGCGTATGCGTTGATACATCGCTAGCCGGATGGATTGGTCGATGGATTGATCGGGAATCAGAGCCCCTGGGTGGTGCAGTCGGTGGCGCAGAAGACGGCGTTGTTGGTGCATCCGAGGTAGCAGATGGGCACGGTCCCTCCGGTGGACGTGTTGTAGCAGTCGAGGAGGCACGAGGCGACCTTCGTCCCGCACCCGCCCATGCACTGCGTCAGCCCCGTGGCTGGGCCCGGCCGCCGGCAGCAGCCGCGGTCATCTCGTAGCCACCAGCGGCCGCGTCGACCGCGGCGGCGCCCGTGGCCACCAGCGCCAGCAGGAGCAGCACCGCGGCAGCTGCCGTCGTGGTCGTGGCGCCGGTGCGTGCCATACTTGCGTCTGCGTCCGTGCGTGCGTG